GATGGTATTATGGTCTCTGGCTTGTTATTTTTCTTGTACTATAGCGTACCGTCCACTACATTTTTATTGCTACCTCACGTGAATTATGTACGTCACATGAGAGAACTTGCCGTAATAATTTCTCATGCTAGGACCAAACACTTTTGTCACAAACTTGACATTTTGCACTTGTACCATTGTCCGCATCCAGACTACACATCAGTACCATTACCATAAACTTGACATGTTACACTTCTCAAATCGTGCACATCTCGACTATATACACCATTTCACCCCAAAAAGTACTTACATAACCAGAGAAAATTGATCTCACGCTAACTGCTACTGACATCAAATTCGCCAGCTATTAAATCAAATCATATCTTCAAGTCTGTTTCCGCTCTAGAAAAACCAACTTCCGGTTGCCACACAGCTCGGTGTATTGTTAAGATGTGGTTGCCTTGGTAACAATTGTCAGGTAGAGTGTCCAACGGGTAGGTAGGTAGGTACTAATAGACTGGTGTAACGGTGATTGTACCGGCACGCCCGCACATAAACGTCTGATGGTATCTCGTCTTACAACGGCGTGTGGGGTTCAGTTCAACAGCATACCTGCGTGGCTGTTTGTTTCTGCAACAACAGACCTGCGTGGCTATTTGTTGATGGGATCTGGCGTTAACGCAGGTGGAAAACACGATATTATTTTTGTTATGGTGTGAAAAACAGAGAGTAAGAAATTGTTGTTTGTTAACTTGTTCAAGGCTGTTCTAAACTTAGGTTTGAATAAATGATTTGGGCGAAACATTTAGTGTTAAAACAAAAGACAGAAGCGACGATACACTGTTATCAAACCGATATCCAAGTCAGTTAGTTGGAGTTTGCCGTGTTGATGGGAGACACCTCCTGAGCCGGTGAAATAGGTAAACAAATTAATAGGGTTAAAATATTATCAACAATGTATACTTTCAAAACACTTCAGTTTTTACAAATTAAAACTCAGAAGATTCGGGAAATCAGAACAATACAAGGGGTCGTCCATAAATGACGTCACACTCGTAGGGGGCGGGGGGTAATTTTGTAACGGTGTGTGATGAGGGGGAGAGGGGATGGGAGGTCAGATGGTATGACGTCACTTTTTTTCATCATAAAAAGCCATGTTAGAAAACGAGTTTTAGCCGTTATTTCGTGTTTTAGAAAACTGTTTTAATAAATTGTAATAGGAATTGATCAAAATACTCTACTTTGACAGAGTTCAGACAAGTTTTTGGAAAAAACATATCGAGTTTTTAAAAAAAATTCAACAGCCATTTTTAGGGGGGGGGGGGGGGGGGTTGTATGCTGAGGTGTGACGTCATTTTGGGGGGGGGGTCTGGCTTTTTGTGAAGACGTGTGACGGAGGGGAGGGGGAGGTAAAATCGTCAAAAAAAGCGTAATGTCATTTATGTATGACCCCCAAGTTAGATGTTTTTTTCCCAGAACTAGACGCTTCATTTAAGTAAATGGTATAAATAATGAACATTAATTAAACAAAAATTTGACACCAAAATTAATTAGCCGTTTAGGCATTCATTAAAATCCCCATACCCACCGATCTACCCTATACTTTAATGTTGAGTACCTGCGCCCTCGGCATCAATGTAGATGTGCCATGCAGAAAATTGTAGCTGTCCATCTACTGCGCATGCGTGAGCTCTTCTTAAATTGATCGGCTTAAAACACCTTGAAATAAACATTTTAAATACCACATTATATGCTACATTTCCAATGCGATACAATTTTCTGTTCGATATCTGGACTCATTACTAATTAAATTTTAAATACGGTATGTTTAAAACAGTTTTTTTTCCCTGAAAGATGACGTTGAAAACTATAATAAAGTAAGCTTAGCCTAAGTATTTTTTACGGCCCTTAACCTCAGCTGTGTATGACGTCACAGTTCCAGAAGTTTCCTGACTCTAACCAGCCAACTGAAAAAGGTAAAGAAAAAAAAATCGTGTCCAGCTATTCACGTTGAGGGCTCAGTGGTGGGGTAGGGGGTGGGGTGGTGTACAGGAGGTCTGGTGGAGGGGGGGGGGGGGGAGGTAGCTGTCAGCTTATTCAATTTAAACTTAGAGAACTAGAAACACAAATTAGATTTTAGATGTTAAAAATGGTGTAAAGTTATGGGAAATAAGTCGCCGTGAAATCAATAGTACATGAAGCAAAGAATTGTGGCTGATTTTTTTGCTTCTAGAAAGGACAGAACTACAGTTTGTCCAATGTATTTTTGGTGTCTCTAATTTTTCAAAGAAAGGACAGAACTACGTGACGGTGTCTTTAATGTATTTTCTGATAGTCTTAGGGTGGCTAGGTCGCCTATTGGTACAAATCTAGGTCGTGTAAAGCTTTAATGCAGCAATATAAATGTCTGCTACTTAAAGAATGCTTAGCTCCAATTACGTTTCAAGTGACTTAAATATCTTAAACGCCTGATTTATGCATAATTCGACGAGTAGACCATATGAAGTGTTTAGCATGATATTTGTTCAGGGTATCTTAATTTTCCAAGATGACCTGTTCAAGTGTAACGTTTAGGATTTGACATGTTATTAGTCCAATGTGATGTCATTCTGCTTAGTTCCGCCACTGACCCTAGATGCTAGCCCTGAATGTTACCCTTGAGAGTGTTGATGTCACCCCCCCCCCCCCCCACAGCAGACAAGTGCGCGTGCTAAAACTAAGTTTGTAAATGTCAGGCAGGGTCCGGTGCGCCATTTACAGCTGAAAGAAATAAATCTTTAATGCATGGGGTAGGTCACCTTAGACTTGAGTTACTCAATGTGTAATTTCTTAAGCAAAGTAGTTTAATATTTTCCGTTGCTCATAAATCGAAAGAATTTATTAATGTGCGCATGTTGAGCGCATTATTTAACTGCTTTATTTTTGCTGCTTATATTCTGGTTACCCATAGACAGATAAAGATGACACCACAGACATCAGACGGTCGTTTTGGTGGACTAGAGCGCTGCGTGCAGGGAACTTTACACCCCTCCACTTTTCCAAGAGAAAAAAAAGTAAGATGAATACATCTAATTCATCAATTAGAAATATAATAGGCTGCTGGAAATATAAGACATCAGAGAAATTCTTTTATTTGGACATCTGTAAATAAAAACTTTTTTTCAAATAAATTCTAGGTTTAAATATGTAAAGAACAAAAATTATGTAATACAATTTGGTACATTGTCATCTAGATTTGTAATAAGGTTTATGTTTAGAAAATCAAATCCAAATAAGCGCATAAAGTTTTATTAGACAACTGCCCTCAGAAACTCAAATAGAATGTGATCAATAGAAATTGGCTTCAAAGATCTAACTTTGATAAAAAATTTGATTATTCAAAGTCACAAAGGTGAATATTTTATGAGTTCGATAAAACTGTGGCTGTTCTAAAGAACAAAAAAACAAACACAATATTTTATTTAGAGCTAAATGTAATGTCCGCAACATAAAACATCGACGACAGAAGCTGCACCAGGAATGGCATGGGGTAGAACAACAACATAGAGAAAACAAAAGACAAGGAAAGAAATATGTAACAGGCAGAAACCTTTCAACTCTCCCGTAATGGAAATAAGAAATCACTCATCTTTTGTGTGAGCATATTTACTGCTCCCGTGTGATGCAATTTTTAGTTGTTGTCACAAAAACGTGAATGTTGCTGAGGTTTATAGTTGCATGTCAAGTTTTAGATTGATGAAAAGATCCTTTCATCTATGTTTTATTTTTAAATAGTTTCTTGTTTTAAAGTTGCGCAACAGTTTAACGGTTACGATTTTTTTAATCTAAAAAAAATATTACAAACAAAGAGCAAAGTTGTGAAATTTAAGCTTAAAAGGGATGTTCAGAAATTCTATATTAGGATCCTTTTGATCGTATTGCCTCAAAGTTGGAGCGCTGAGTATTTTTTTATTTAATTTTTTTAATGGGGGGCTAAAAAATACATGGGTATTGAAGCGATACCTTAAACACTTTAAGTCTTTAAGTTTTCTTTTGTATTGTCCTGTAGCTAGATTTGGGTACTTTTTTATTGCGTCACAAAAGGTCAGAGGAGAGGAAGAGGCGATGCCACTCTTAGTAAAAGCAACCGGGATGTACACCCGACCTAGTGACGCCCTCGCTAGCACTGATGTGAAAATACGCGTTTTTAAACGTCACCTATCCATATTGATGAAGAGCGTCGTTAGTCGTTTGGATCTCGACGTATTAAAGATTAGGACTTGTCAGAAGTTGGGGGTCCGGACAAAAAAGGCCGGTATGGGCAAAAGGCCAGCAGGAATTAAGGCCGGACAAAGTTATATAAAACAACAATTACAGTCATGTTTCATTTCAGTAACATAATGATAAAGTTATAGCACAACAGAGAAAAAAAAATAGGGGCCTAGTAAAAGTAATAAGATAAATGGTCTGGTATGACATGTAGAATTTTGTGTAAGTCATATATTTTTGTCTAAATGCCCGAGGGGAGGGTGTGGGGGGGTCTGGTGAAAGGCAATGCCTGACAGAAAAATTTGACACGGTTGATAGAACTGACAAAGCTGAGTTCACCTTGGCATATGAAATAGATGTAGGAGCCAGCTATTGAGTGACTTTTTCCTCAGTAACAACGCCCAGCTCAGACTCATCTCAGTACTAAACAAAATAAGTTTCTTTTTTCTCACACTGAGGATTGTTATATCAACAATGGTTCAAATAACACTAAATGAGTAAATGGGTACTTGTTTTACTCTGAAGTATTTCCATTTTTTTGGTTGTGTAAAGAAAGGCTTTGACATGACATTTATAGAAGAATGCCTAGACATCAATAGGAGTACTAAAACATGGGCTGACAAAAGATTTAAAACATACTGCATACATTGCCTATGCATTTTATGTGATGCCGAACAGACAAAAGTAAATCAAATAAGTTAGAGTTAGCATTCTCTCATTGATATAAATAAAGACTTACAAATGTATGCAACAAAAAAACAACAGAATATCAGTTACAAAACAACATGTTTTATTTAAAAATATATACATCACTAGCTCAACATGAAGATTTTTGTTAGCTACTCTGTCTGTTCCCATCTATAACTGTAGACCTGTATCTGCTGCACATTCAGCAACTATGCTAGATGGTTTGCACAAAACATCTTCAGCTGTGTCTTGAGCTTCAGCGCCAAGTGTTTTGGCATTCGTATAGAATGTATTGGGGTGCATCTGAGGTTGTACATTCATAGACGTGAGGAAAGATTTGAGCTGTAAATATTCCATGTTAGAGTCTCTACAGCCTAAAACGGCTCTGTGGTTAATGTCATAGTGCTTGTCCACTGGTGGTGATGTCCACCCTTCCCACTCATTAGCACAACGAGAGCAGTAGATTTTTAACTGAGCTGCGAGTCCACAGGAGTTTGTCGTGGACAGTTCAAGGTCATTATTACCACAGTCTGTGCAAGCAACTTCTGATAACAGAGAGCGCATGAAGCTTTCATGAATCAGGAAGTACGACTCCTGTGGTGTAGGGGCAGAAGAAGTGTTCAACAATGCAAGATTTGGATTCCTTCTGCCGCATGCCATAGACAGGTCAGCATCCACAGTAGAACTGAAAATAAAAAAATAAAAATAAAAATGAAACACCTGACGAATTAAATATTAAAAACGATTTTTTGTTTACCAATTTTTTTGTACAATTAAAAAAAAAAAATTCTAAAGACTAGACCTAGATTTTAAATATACATTACATGGTCAAATAAGTAGGTTCCTACTTTTAATCAAATTCTACCAAATATAGAACTACTAGTTAATTACTCTACCTAACTAGCACAGACAAAAGTAAACATTGTATAAATCAGATAACTTTAAAAAATATATGCTATTATTCATATTATATAAGCGGACAGTGTGGTCTAGTGGTAGTGCTAGGACAAGACTGCTAACCTGAAAGTCTTGAGTTTGAATCAAAGTTCAAGTCAGTAGACCCTCTCTGAGTCAGATCAGCTCTGATGGGTATATAACTCACCTTAGGGAAAGTAAAGGTGGCTGGGCATTGTGCTGACCACACTATCTCTTCATATGCCGAGGTCACAGAAACACACGAGCTCTACTTCCTTTGCCCAAAAAATTTATTTTTCTTTTAATGTTTAAGCGGTTTCTTTCAGGCATCCCCTCAAATATTGTCTACCCCCCCCCCCCCCCCCCCCGAACGAATGAGAATTTATAAATTATTATACTTTTTACCAGTGTCCGCTTGTTCAACTTTAGGTTGATACCTAGCAGCTCTGGCCCGTTTCAACTGTTTATTTCTTTTTTTGGTTGGTGCCATATCCTGCAAATAAAAAAAATAAAATTATTTCATCTTGTCACATTCTTGTGTCTAGAAACTCTTGAAACCAACATCACATGATATGTTAAATTTAATAAACTATGTTATCTATCCTAACTAAATAATGAAATATAGGCCTACCACCTGTCTAAAATACACTAGGCATAGATGATATAATCTAGATCATTAGATCTATATCTATATAATTTCACATTTGAACTACAATGTGTAATGTCACTCTTGTGTTAGCCAATAAATTAAATAGGCCTGAAAAGTTTTAATTCAATTGTTTAAAAACAGGTACATAAATCATTAAATGAAACAAGGAAACATTTTTGTATTTTTCAAAACATAAATCCTCATCAAAATGTGAAATTATTATAATTTAAGGAGTCACCTGTTTTTCACATTACTAGTCGCAGGCGATTTAACGTATCCAAAATGATAGATTACCTCAAAACATAAATCCTCCTCAAAATGTAAAATAATTATTAAAATTTAAGGAGTCACCTGTTTATCACATTACTAGATTAGTTGCGGGCGATTTTTTTTTTTTTACGTACCTACCTAAAATCTAAAGCGATAGATTTAATTACTAATAATTACCGACTACTAGGCTAGATTTAATTTTCTAATTTAGTCAGTTAGGCATTAAGCCTAGATCTAATAATAATAATAATAAATTTACTAGGCCCAACTACTTAGTTACTAGGCCTAGCTCTAGATCTAAGTACAAACGACAGATTACCCAAAAACTCTAACTACGATAAAAATCAAGTAAATATCAATATCACCGCTCGTGGCGTACCTTAGGTGATCTGAGTGAATGTTCGAGGTAAAATAGCTTGATAGTTGTGATAGTTTAGTTGTAGGTAGGATGATTCGACATTGTCGTCGACATGCGTGTTGAAATTTTTGTAAACAAAACTACTGCGCATGCGCAAAGGTTAGCTTACCGGGGGTGTGTCACTGTTTGTCCAATCAAAGTTTATAATAAGACATTAAATTAAAATTTATATCCAATGACAGACAGCCAATGTTTTCAAAGATTTGATTCTTAACTCATAAGAGTTACTGCTATTTATACTAGATCTAGAAAAATGGCCCGTCGAGGGAAAAATACAACTGGTGCTAGGTTGATAGTGTTGTCTTTTCCTCTAAACCGAAACCAACCGGAAACAAAAAATGTCATTGAAAACGGAGTTGTCGTGACAAAAAGTTTTAATGTATACTGAAAAATAAGCTGTTTAAATTTGATTGCTTGAATAAATAAAGCGGGAGTGATCTCCCCTAAACTCTCTTGAATCCTAATATATATAATAATGCACTAAAAAGTAGAAAATAAATTATACACTACTATTTAAATAACTAAGAAAAGTGTGGGTCACTTTAGTATCTATTGGATACTTTTACTAATATTTAAGAAGAGACCCACGCTTTTCTTTATAGTTATTTAAATAGTAGTGTATAATTTATTTTTTACTTTTTAGTGCATTATTACATAAAAGCTTGTTATTAAAACATTTTTTATGAATTTTTTTTTCAGTACTTTAAATTTTTAAAATTTACAATAGAGTTGCATGACTAAAAACCATTGCGCACCTATTGAATGTGATACTGATTAATAGTCCGGAATAGTTTGATGAGACAGCCTACTAATTTGGACAAAAATTTAATTAACTCATAAAAAATTAATTAGGCATCCAATTAAGTCAAATTTAATGCCATGTTGTAATGTCTTCATGTCTTGACCCACATGCCAATGTTGAAGCAAATCTGTCAGTTAGAAGTGTCCGAAATTTTGCTCGGGCGTTTTGATCTAGACAGACAGAGGACTGACGACAGAGGAAGTGAGTTAAATAAAAGCTTGTAAAAAAGCCCATGTGCGTATGTCTTTCTCTCTCTCTGTCCGCAACATTTTTGAGGCTATGTGATCAGTATGTTCAGCGATATATGGAGAACTTAATGATATTTACTTTTGTTGAAAATAATATGTTGGATGTTTTAAATGTATAAACTAAATTTTATCTGAAGAAGGAAAATAAAAATAAAGCAATATTCGAAAGTAAAAACACAATTTTGATCCTACAACCAGAAAAGTGTTTATTGTTTTTACAAGAAGGTAAAAAAACCCCAAAAAAACAATGACGTGTTTAAATTATGGAAAGTGCACAAACCTCATGGCGTAATCTTCCAATCTCAGAACATGAAGAAATGAACTATTTCACTCAAAGTTGATTTAGATCTATAGATCTACTCATCAAGACATATGCTATGAAATATATACAACTTTCTCGTTCTGTTCTCTTTCACACAGCCCACACTATACTTTGACTTATGGCCTCTTGTCTGCCATGTGCCATCATACGAATCATCACTGTCATAGAATTCTTTGCCAGACTGTTTGGGATATGCAGCACGAATAATGTTTGCCCTGTCTGACATCAGTTTGTCAGAGTAACTCAGTGCCATTTTATGGATTACTCGAGTGTGCTTATTATAAGTTTTCCGATGGCGAACTAGAGTATTCATCAGCTCCGAAAACTTCATAAGCCCACCATACCCCATTCTGGTAGCCAGAGAGGCTGCCAGAGCAACTGGCTGTCTGTTCACAGAGTGCACTTTTTCATTCTTAGGAGATGCGATGGTCTCTGACCTAATCTCCTCACAAGTTCTACAATATACTTGCAGATAAACTTCAAGGCCACAGTTTTTTTTATGTGTCTTGATGCAGCTGTAGACACTGTGTCTGGCAAATGGCGCACTGCAGGTTGGTAAATAATGATTGTAATGTCGCCAGGCAGATTCTGAGATTGACGTATGTGGAGGGCTATTCAGAATTTTGAGACTTTCATCAAAAAATTAAAGTTTGTGTTTAGAAGCTGAAACAGAAGGGGAGATAGATAGTACTTTCCTGTGTGAGAAGAGGGGAATCACTGTGACTTGGACTTTGAGCAACTGTCATGGATTCTTCTCTTTTTCTCCGTAAGGCCTCTGTCGCTTTGGCTGTTTGACGCCTTCTCCTCAGCTTTGACCTAGCCGCTTTGTTTTTAGATGAAACTTTAGATGGAGCCATGACACTGAAATAGTAAGAAATAAGATAACTACTAACTGAACAAGATTTACAAACAGCTAACTGTAATATCCAGCTATACAATTATGGATGATTGAATAGTAATCTCAAAAATAAATTTTGTTAACCTGTTTGGACTTGTGTTTAGTATAAAATTGAAACAAAAAAACAACACTCTTTATGTCTAGTAATTGTAGTAACACCTAGTAGCCTAATTAAAATTCATCAGTTATCAACTAATACTACTACTAGCCTATAGAATACTAGATAGATCTATACTATACTTAATACTAATCTAATAGTAATACAGAGTTTTTTTTTTTTTCACTTTTTACTTTTTAGCAGACTACTACTAGATCTAGATCTAGGCCTATAGCTTAAGTATTAGAGTATTAGTAATATTAGACTTTAATAGTTACTAGATCTAATCTAGTTACTTACTTACTAGATCTAGATTCTACTTTACTTATAATAATAATATTATATTAGCCTACTTTTAGTACTTTACTCACTTTACTCTATCACTTTAGTGACTTTACCCTCTGAAGTATTGATAATGAAATAATGAATAATGATAGATTCTATATACTAGTAGTCTAGTATACTAAGTATATAGGCCTACTAGGTATAGATTATAGATCTAGATTCTATAATCTATAGTCAATCTATAGATTTAGATCTAGATCAAGATCTACTGTATATATATAATATATTTAGTATTTATAATTAAATTATATTATAAAGAAATAGACTAGATCTAGATCTAGAATCTAGAATTCTAGATCTATTGAAAACAAACAAAACAATATCAGTACAGAGATCTAGATCTAGTACATAGACTAGCTCTATGTAACAAAAATAGATCTAGATCTAGATCTAGACTCTATAATATTATAATATAGATCTAACTGGCTTACCTTTGGCAAGGTGTAGAGTAAATCTGTTTAAAGTTATAGAATTCTAAATGATTTGTGAAAAACGTAAACACTCTGAGAGAAGATCACTGTGGACATGCGCGTAGTGTTTTCTGGGTCAAGGTAACAGACGAACATGAGTAAAAGTATTCAAAAGGCTTTAGATCTTAAATTGTAAAAAAAAAAAATAGAAAAATAAAGCGGGAGTATCTTCCCTAAACTTTCTCGAATATTCTTATATAATACTAAGGGGTATGGCAACTCGGAATATAGACATGATTTTTAATCCATTTTAATTACTTAAACTTTTGAAAATAGAAGAACAGAATCAAAATTGCAAAACTGTTTTCCGACTTAGGGATTAGGCCTACAATACTTCCTCTACTCTATACTTTGTATCCGAGAAAGTAAAAAAAAAACTGACCATATCCCCATGAAATCATCCATTAATGATATAAGACCGTTTCAAAAACAAATGTTTTTACCTGGTTTGGATAGGGGGTGACGGGTTACTTAATGGCTAAGAAATATACAAATACTAAACTATAACCAGTTAGTACAAAAATGGATTTGGCCTACTGTTTTTTAGCCACCTTTATAATTTTGAAGGGGAGATAATTGTGTTATTATGTCATGTTTACTGGGATTATACAACTGACTAAAATAAGTAATCAATATTTCCTAAAGCCTTTTTAATTAAGAAGCTTATTTTTCGTGACTCAGGTAAAAAAATACTTCATAGTCGTTTGGTGATTCAATTGAAATGCGCATTTATGTGAGTTGTGGAGGGGGGGGGGGGGTATGCTACCGCCAACAGCCGATTCTGATAGCAACCATGCTCAAGAACAGATGCAGGACACACATGTCAACCTGAAGGACAATGATGCGATTCTAACATTGCTGCAGGATTATGACTGCCCTCTTGTTTAAAACTACTTCACACTACTAATTAGTCAAAGATAAACGAACAAATAATGTTTAGTGTGTTTTAATGAGCACATGAGATGTTAAATTATGTAAATCTACTAGGTGATATTTTCGAATGTGAACATTTCCCATGAGTCTACCCAGCTCTGACGGGTACCTAACTCACGTTAGGAAGGTAAAGGCCCCGTGGAATAGCGCTGACCACACTATCCCTTCATATGCCGAGGTCTCAAACATCTAAACTCTACTCCATCTGCCCCGTGTGTCTTGGGCACGAACGGGAGAAGATGATGCTGTACACATCAGTTCCGGCTAACGGAAACCAAGACATAAAGCAGACACATCCCATTATTCAGACACATTTTTTAACTTCTCTGCCTGACACTTTCCTAGCCAGTTGGTTCAAAATAAATTTCTTTCTTTAGTTCTGAGAGACAGACTGGAGTTTAACAGAGTCGGAATAGCCAATAGACTGGCTGAGTCTCAGGATAGAGAGCAGAAAATAGATAGAGAGCAGAAAATAGAAATAAGCATTAGATAAATAGAACGATACAAAAAAATCGTGCTATGTGAGTCGGCGATTGTGAAATACATACCTTTTGTCTGATGAAAGTGAAAAAAAATTGAATATGTGCTTTCTGCGTTCTTCCTCCTTCTGAGAGAAGGCCATATTTTTGTTTTCAATAGAAAAATGATATATATATAGAATAATGGGAATCTCCGATTTCCTTTTATTTTCTTTGTAGCAAGAAAAAAAAATTTGATTGTTCGGTAGCCTTTGCTTCGATTCCCCGCGAGAGTATCGTATTCATATTGCCACATTTCAGTACATAGCGGTTATAGGCAGTCACTCGGATTGTGAAGTTACTGCCCCTTACAGATATACGTCTAGTCTAGGTGATGGTAGTAAATAGAATAATCGTAGGCGGCTGTTGTTGTAGTCAGAACTTATATTGTTATTGGTGTATGATATTTGGGGGGGGGGGGGGGGGGGGGGTGGGGGGAGAGGGGGAATGATATTGGCTCGATGTGGGCATGGAGGGGAGAAATGTTTTTGTGGGGGTTGGTGTGTGGGGAGTGTGGGGGGTGTGTGTGGGTGGTGTGTGGGTAGAGACGGGAAGTATCGGGGTAAGCATGATCACAATTTACTTGAACACAACTGTCCCGCTTTGAGTACACACGGCGCTACATTAACACAATTATCCCATGCAAAAGCTAACAGACGAAAGTATATGTATTGTGGAACTCAAGAACCCTGTTATTTCAATGTTTGTGGGGGCCACGTTCAAGTTTGTCTGGGTAGACTGGTCCCCAGTCCGTCACTGCCCCACTCAAACACTCGTCCAGATTCTGGGCCCGTCCTTGAAAGTTCCCACACCTGACCTTGGGATGAGTTGAACTGAAAATCGAACAAAAAATGTTTTTGACTTACTCTTCCTTAATTGAAAAATCCTTATTGAAAAGACAGTCCCAAAAGGGGAAGATTTAGTTATTTCCTTGAAAGATAAATCTAATTATTTCCATCCGCGTTTGTCAATCTGTTTCTTTCCGTTAGCTTGGAAATTTCGTATTTTTTTTAAATTTAATGAACATTTAACTTCTTTTCATTACCGAATAATTAAAAACAAACATCGTCGACTGAGCAGATTTAATCCCCCCTCCCCGCCCACCCTGTGCAGACGCATGGAATATAATCCCCCCCCCCCCCGCCCCCACCCAGTCAGGTTCAGTTGTTCTAGCGAAGAAGTGCATTGTTATAGCAGAGAAGTGCATGTAGTTTTCTTGGATGTACGGACCCTTGAGACCATCTTTGGATGTCTATCAAACTTTAAATTTTGGCTTGAACAAACGAGTCGATCTGTAGATAAATCGTGTTTTAGGCCTAGATTTAAAGCGTAAAATAACAACATCAATTTATATGGAATACTGTTGTGTCCTTTATAAACAGCAGAGAGCGTTCAGGGTCTAGACACTCTAGACCAGACACTTTCTAGACCAGACACTCTCTGGACCAGACACTCTCTAGACCAGACTCTCTAGACCAGACACTCTCTAGACCAGACACTCTCTAGAGCAGACACTCTCTAGACCAGACACTCTCTAGACCAGACACTCTCTAGACCAGACACTCTCTAGACCAGACACTCTCTACCAGACACTCTCTAGACCAGACACTCTCTAGACCACTCTCTAGACCAGACACTCTCTAGACCAGACACCCTCTAGACCAGACACTCTCTACCAGACACTCTCTAGACCAGACTTTCTCTAGACCAGACTTTCTCTAGACCAGACACTCTCTAGACCAGACACTCTCTAGAGCAGACACTCTCTAGACCAGACACTCTCTAGACCAGACACTCTCTAGACCAGACACTCTCTAGACCAGACACTCTCTACCCGACACTCTCTAGACCAGACACTCTCTAGACCAGACACTCTCTAGACCAGACACTCTCTAGACCAGACACTCTCTAGACCAGACACTCTAGACCAGACTCTAGACCAGACACTCTCTAGACCAGACACTCTCTAGACCAGACACTCTCTAGACCAGACACTCTCTAGACCAGACACTCTCTAGACCAGACACTCTCTAGACCAGACACTCTCTAGACCAGACACTCTCTAGACCAGACACTCTAGACCAGACTCTAGACCAGACACTCTCTAGACCAGACACTCTCTAGACCAGACACTCTAGACCAGACTCTAGACCAGACACTCTCTAGACCAGACACTCTCTAGACCAGACACTCTCTAGACCAGACACTCTAGACCAGACTCTAGACCAGACACTCTCTAGACCAGACACTCTCTAGACCATACACTCTCTAGACCAGACACTCTCTAGACCAGACACTCTCTAGACCAGACACTCTCTAGACCAGACACTCTCTACCCGTCACTCTCTAGACCAGACACTCTCTAGACCAGACACTCTCTAGACCAGACACTCTCTAGACCAGACACTCTCTAGACCATACACTCTCTAGACCAGACACTCTCTAGATCATACACTCTCTAGACCAGACACTCTCTAGATCATACACTCTCTAGACCAGACACTCTCTGGACCAGACACTCTCTAGACCAGACACTCTCTAGACCATACACTCTCTAGACAAGACACTCTCTAGACCCAGAGTGTAGTCAAGGCATGGCTGTGTCCCTACGGCACTCGTCTAGACAAAAAATTCCCAGCCTCTGACACAGACCTCGAACTTGCTCTACGCCCCTCCCCCCCCCCCCATCTTTCAGCCTACATATCCCCCCAACTTCCGGTTGACCAAAAGCGACTGAACAGAAAAGAAAAATGTGTGACTCCGACAAGAGTTTACCCCCCTTGATTGCCCTCGACGTGGCGCCACTGTCACAGATGAAATTACAACTTTCAAACTGCCAACAACTCGTGGTTTATTTCGTCAACTCGACCAGACGTTTCCTTCTAAATTGCCAGTTTCCCGTTTTAAAACTAGCTCTTCCAGTCGACAAAAAGGTGTTAGCTTTACGTAGACAAAACTTGGCCTTCAAGCCTTCAAGGTTGGGATTTGGGATATATTGAAATTAGAAAAAAAAAAAAAAACGACGAAAATGTTATACTTTTTTTTTTTCAAAATTCAAATATACTTTATTGAAAATTTCTAAACCTGTTTTTAATAATTTTATTGATAAAATAAATTCACATTTAAATCACTTTGTAGTCCGGTTATTTCCCTTGAGACTTTAGTGTCATGACTCATATTCCGCCCACCGATGTGTCATATTCCGCCCACCGATAATGTTGTAGTCTGGCCGTCAGGATCTCGTTATAATTTCATGTTGTAACTTCTAGAATGGTGTGCTGCGGTCTTTATAATGTCATGTTATCTTGCTAGAGCTCTTACTATTAGGTTTACTGTCTGTAGCCTGTTTAGTGGAAGCTTGCGACTGTGCTGGCCCTTTCAATGAGTAGGGTTTCTTTCAAACATTTTGCTCCCGGAGGTCGCGGGGGTGGGAGATTTGAAATTTTTGGGGACGGGGGGGTCGGAGACGGATAATGTTAAAAGTATATACTTCTGTGTAAATGTAATACTTTTCATTTTCGTCTCGAGGTGGGGGTGTGATCTGGGGGCTATGACCAATGCACCACCCCTTACGGGTTAGAAAAACTGCTAGGCCAATTCATTACGTGTCGTGACAGACGGACAAGGGGAAAGACGGACTGACAGACCATGCAATTATTTCTAGAACCAACTGATGTAGGACACGACAAGGGTCAAATTGTCGCCAGTCCTGCAAGTTGAATTTCATTTAGCTTTATTGAGTTGTCCGTTTCCATTCATTATTAATTATAACAACAGTTTAATGGAAATCTTTTGTTTCCTCCGGTGTCAACTTTTTGTATTTTGTCTCTGTGAACTATTGAATGCGAATCTTGTTACACCACGGACACTATTAACTACCAGTAGTTGGACCTAGACGTGATGTTTTGCCTCTGTTTGAATTAGGGTCTTGTCACATCACTACAAACTAGGGATCGGCGTGGTCGAGTCGGTAAAGCTCATGGTTGCTAAACCGAAAAGTCTCGAGTTCGAACCCTCGGGCAGATTAGGCTCGTTAGCTGAGACAGTTACTCTTCTAGGAGGGACAATTCCAAAATAAAAAATTTGCTGCCTAGTAGTTTGTTCTTTGTTGGACAAAGGCTATGGAAGCATATCCAAAAAGAAAAGCAGGCTGAAATCGGAGTCAATGAATGGCGCATAACCAGTTGACACGTATCCTTAATTGTGATGGGGTCGTAGTCGAGTCGGCAAATAGCTCATGGTTGATAAATGCGAAAAAGTCTCAAGTTCAAACCCTCTGGCAGATGAAGGCACGATCCCTTCCAACACCACTAAAAATTAAGAACGAAGAAGAAGAAGGCTACAATCTAACACCAGTAGTTTGATCAAGACGTGTTGTTTTGGCACTCTTTGAATTAGGATATTGTCACATCACTACACCACAAACCATCATGTGTTAGACCACGTCACGATGTTTATTAACCTGCCACACATAAACCAGAAAAACAACCTGTAGCTAGGGATAATTTAAAAATATTGTTTGTCTTCGCTTTTGTTCAACGAACATTTGTTGACAGCATACGTTCAGCTAACATATATTGACAACATACGTCGCATACATGTTTAGACAATCAAAACTCTTAAAAACAATTACACTTCACTAAATAAACGAAACAAAGATTTAAAAGAATCGTTTTGTTTCCGCCGAATAAAACAACCTTTGTCCGTCACTTGGCATTGTGTATTCTCTGCCACACAATTTTTTAAAATTACCTACGTCATTTGCGCTCATTAAAATTTATTTGCGATTTTTACGTTCTTGTCAAACGACATATTTTTATTTGGCTGATTATAATTCTAGACGTGTCCACATGACCCCCCATGGCTAATTAACTTTTAGATCCAGTTACTGTTGCTATAGTTACACTTGCATAACCAGTTTAATAAAGATAAAAAAATACTTTAATAAGAAAAAAGAAACTCAATTAAAATTAAAACCAATCAGTTTGACATCCTACAAAGTCTTTAATTAAAATATCATCTTGACCAATATCAATTATACTGTCTTACAGCGGAGCCCCCTCCCTCCAAAAGTCTGGAATAAACACTGCTTTCTTACCATCTT